TCTGCAAGGGAACGAACGTGTCCATCAAAAATCGCGCCACAGTGAAGTTCGAAAAAAGGGTTTTGCTGACACTTTCATCGCTTCGAAACACGGAAGGGAAAATCTACTTCAATGGTTCCAACGAGACAGCGGAAGGCCTGGCGCGTCGACTCCTCAAAGAATAAAAAGAAGAGAATTGTAGCCAAAACTACTTCCAATACGATTTGAGCAAAAATAAGTACTACAAACAGACTGACGAGCTAGCATTAGTCAGTGCGATGGATTTTATAGCGACTGTCAAAAATTCCCACAATAACAAACAACGGCCGATCGAGAAAAGGTGTGCAAGTTATGGCATCAATCTAAGCAAAGGTGAGGTTTGTTCTATAAAATCATCTACCGATTTTTCTAGCAGCAAAATGGCTTACAATTGTGTTCGATTTGTAGAGAAGCAAGATGCAGAGGCTACTCCTACCGTATCCAATTCTGGTATCACGAATCCTGACCACGAGATAACCAATACATGCAACGCTGTAACGTTGTCTTCCTCCAGTACCTTGTCACAAGACGGCAATATCAATGCAGCTCGTCGTGGAACAAAGCGACCATTCAATGAGACCAATGCAGTCAATTTGGATGATACTGATGACTCGAATACATCTGCAAGCCCATTCCGTGATCGGGTTGGACCTTCAGACCATGACATGGTAAAGTATCTGTTGGATATTTGCGAGTCTGATCCCAACTTCAAGCATGTTTTCTTGTTTCAGTTATACCCAGAACGCACCAACTTGGACCAGAGTCTTGCCGAGGCTACAGCAGCTACTAGGAATACAGAGAAGCAGCTCGGGGCAACAATGTCCGAGAACGAGATGCTTCAAAAGAGCAATGAAGAGAACGAACAGAGAATTGCCGAGTTGGAAGCAAAGCTTGTTTCTTCGCAGAGAAGAGAAGAAGAGCTCAAGTCATCCATTATGGAAGAACTCAAATCAGCTCTGTCACTACGCACCAACTTGGAGAAGAGTCTTGCGGAGTCTACAAGGGCTACTCAGAATGCAGAGAAGCAGCTCGAGGCAACCATGTCCGAGAATGAAAGACTTAAAGGGAACGAGCAGAGGATTGCCGAATTAGAAGCAAAGCTTGATTCTATTAAGGAAGACCACCAAGCAGCTCTGTCCCGGAACCGCAGGCTTCGAACGAACAACGGAGCGCTTCGAACGAGTAATGAACAGAACGAACACACGATCTCTGGGTTGGAAGCCAAGATTGGAAGAGAGAAAGACCTTGAAGAAATTTCAAAACACTACGAAGATGCCTATAAATCTATGGCCGAGAAAAATGGAGTACTCGAGGGTCAGCTACAGGCTGTCAAAGACTGGTTTGAAAATGAAGCGAGACTAAGGCAGCAGCTTGAGGACCAAATCGAAGCCATTCGTCGCGCACCATAGACTCATGTTGCACTGTAGCGCCAAACATTCAATTTTCAAGATGTTATCTCATCAAATTTAGTAGATAATCCATACGAGTACGGAAAATACGCTTTGTACGGACAGGAGAGTAATAAAATACCAGGTTCTCGTACCGTCGTGGTATTGAAATGAATATGAAAAGATTTGGATTTATATTCGATTCAATCGACCCAACATTGAATGATGCAGTCCGAATTCAATCGAACCCAAGTCGTACGGATCGTTGAATGATTTCGAAAGCACCGCATCAGAGAATACTGTGATTGCTATTGTACCGTATTGATTCAATCAAGTATAACATAGCCATCCATGTATTCCGATCTCTTTGACGCTCTAGGCGGTGGCGGTGCAGCCAGCAATAGCTCTTCTTCCAATGCTAATCGCGAAGAGGTCAAACCTTTGTTGAGTTTCAAGGCTGGCAAGGTCAACCTTTCGCTACAAGAAAACGGGAAGTATTGGGCCGCTCCTGATACTCGCCGTGGCCAAGTGAATCTAAAGTACAACGATGAAGATCAACTCACTTGGGAATGGTATGATAGACGGGAAAAGAAAGTACAGGATACCATCATTATTACAGACCCTGTCACGTTGGAGAGAACCGATGTTCCCAAATCTACCGATGCTGATACCAACGATCGAGTTTACTACTGGAAGCTTGATAATGTCTGGAGAATGATTTGGTTGCAGGACAAGGAAGAAGACAAAGAATTGATTGAAAAGGTCAATGCCATCTTGAAAAAACCAAAGAAGCCTGCTGAAGCTGCGGATGCCGCTCCAGGAAATGGACCCGTGTCAGCCCGTTCTCCTGGAAATGCTAGTACTTCCAGTGCTTCCACAACCACAAGACAAGTAGATGCCTTGTCCAATATATTGGAAAACCTTGGTACGCCCTCTGGTGGTGCTGCGGCCACCGCTTCAGCCCCAGCTCCAGCCGCCGCTGCTGCTTCTGCCGCAGCTGGAGGAGGCACCCTGACCCTTGCTGATCTGCAAGGAGTCATGGCCGGTCTGCAAACGCAACCACAAGCGTCTCCCGCTGGATTGCAGGATGTCGTTTCTTCTGATGCCATTAATAGCTTGCTAGAAAATGAGGATGTCCGCAACCGATTGATTCAAGAGCTGCCAGAAGAACAGAGAACTGCCGAACATTTGGAAGAGAACCTCAGAAGTCCTCAAGTCCAACAAACATTGCGAAGTTTGACGGCAGCTTTGATGCCAGACGATAATGGAAACATGGATGGATACCACAGTGTTCTTGCCAACTTTCAACTAGATGCCGCTGATGGCCAACAAGCCTTGACGCAGTCCAACAACCCAATCCAAGCATTTTTGGATTGTGTCCTCGCTAGTGTAGAAAAGGAGAAGAAGGATGACTCGAAGGATGAAGAAATGAAGGAGTAAATATTATTATTTCAAATAGTGACATAATATAGAGCATTGGGTTTCGCATTTTGTGTCGTCAAGCGTTCTGATAGAATGATCAATAATATGGTTGCATTTATATTTTAAAACTGTAGACAATCTTTTTTTAAAAATACAAATGAAATGTACGTATGAATGATACAATGATACAATGATACAGTGATACACTAGGAAGACATATATAAAGATTGACTCCGCGGATGGAGGTCTGCCTATGGGTGCCCTGGTACAATGTTGGGCTTGTAGAACGACAACATGGCGTATCTGAGTGACGGGTCCGAGTGGGAGACATTGGAAAGGATTCGGGGCCATAGATTGGCTGGAACCATGACGTCGGCTAGTGAGTGTCGACCAGCACGGTTCATGGCAAGAAAGTAGTCCATCTGGAATAGAATTTGACAGCGTTCGCAGGTACAATCGTCAAAGTTCGATTGTTTCCTGGGGCGTGGTGACTTGTCCAGTGGCGATTGGGCATGGCGTGAACAACCTTCATCAGTTTCTTGTAACATTAGATACTGAAGTGTCATGTTGTCATTCTTGAGAACTTGCAACAACGCTAGCATACCAGCTTTGTCGATTCGATTATTTCTCAGATCCAATTTGGCCAAATTCTTGTTTTTCCTTAATCCTTCGGCAATGATGGTCGCTCCTTCATTACCAAGGTTGTTACCATCAAGAACCAATGTTCTAACGACACTCGCCTCACCGAGAAGTACATCTGCAATGACTCTGGCTCCAATGTGATCGATTTTGTTGTCACCGATATGGCATACATCAAGTTGGCGAGAAGCTGCATGTGCCAAATGTGCCACACCCGAATTTCCAAAATTGTTGTTTGACACATAAAGATACTTCAACTCGGGCGAGCATTGCAGAATTTGGGAGACTGCTTCAGCACCTCTTGGGTACACATCGTTGGCTTCCAGCCAGAGGCCCGCCAGTGGCGAGTGTGGAATTGGGATCTCTCTGGAGGTGACTTGGCATTTGTGGCAACTCTTCGCCAGCTTTTGCACTCCTGGGGTCCCAATGAATTCGCAGTTTAGATTCAGAAGTGTGAGTCGAGCGTCACTCTGTTCGAGCTGCGAACAGGCCTTTGCAACATTGTCCATGGTGTCGTTGATTCGAAGATTGATTCGATTATTCTTTTGACGTTTGTGTTGTTTGATATATGATATGAAGCTTTAGCATACATGGATCTTGAACGAGACAAGGGTGATTTTACAACCCGAATCATGTCAATGATGCACAAATTCTAAGAATTTGACACCTGGACTTCGGATTGAAGGGGTAAAACATCACGTCCAATCAGAAGCGCCAGAAAGAGAAGCATTAAACATTTTTGGAGCTATGATAGTACCAAGTGCATACAGTATATCCCAGTGCAGCAATAAAAGCCCAGACTCCAATAGGACGTACCGTGCGATTCAAACTGAATATTATACAATGATTCTCTACACTGTAGCTACTATAAATCTTGGTAGCTACTTTTGTCTTCTTCTTCTTTGTTGTTGTTCATATTGTTGTGGTTGGTGTCAGCCTTGCCCTTATTCGGAATTCCTCCACCGCAAGCACAGCACGCCTCGTTGGCAGATGTACCATTTTCGTTCTTTGTCTCTCCATAGGTTGCGCAGTATCGCTCTTCCTCAAACTGCGGACAATCCTCATCCGAGTCCAGAAAAGTCCACTTGGGATAATCACTGCATCTATCATGAAAACTGGGACACGAATCTCGCCAACCTAGATGATGCAAGGCCTCTTCCGCGTTTACAATTTCCAGCCAATCTGGTGATCGTTTCGCAATAACACACAGGCACTCGAACAATTGGTTGTTTTCTTTCCACAACCTTGAAACATCTTCTGATAAGGCCAGGTTCTTTACAAAACCAATGGCCGCCCAAGGGATTATGGATGGAAAGTTCTGATGTGCGTGCGCATTACTCTGACTTGGCCATGCATATATCCTACCATGAGGCTTGCTGACAGGTCCAAGACATATCAGAGAGCACAATATTGCCGACAGATCCGTATTCGCTAGATGCATCATGATCTTCTGTCGCACTTTGTACCCAATTTTGCTTCTCGGCTTCGCTCCTGTCATTACCAATTCACCCTTGTCATTCCAGATCCATTGACAGTATCCCGTTTCGGAATAGCAAAAGGTTGCCGCCAAGTTTTGGAGAGCTGCTAAACTCCACATGACTGCCTTGCTGGAATGAGAATATCGTTTCCCATTTTCAGAGTTTTCGATATGACAGGTCCGGAGAACCATGATCAACGAATCCACTGCCCCTATCCTGAAGAATTCTTCCTGACCTAGATCGTTATTGAATGTGAGTATCCATATTGCCTCGGCTGCTTTTGCTATAGATTGAATCGCTTTGATTCGTTCTCCTCTGGCGGCATCTTCGGTTGCGTTGTGGACCTTTAGGCCGCTGTCGATGACATCTTTCAACCCGGAATACACCGTACCAGAGTTTTCCAGTGCAAAGTCCGCTCTATTCTGTGGATTGCTTGCGGTACATAATCGGATTGCTTCCGCTGCTTCGCTTCTTACAGAAAGCCCGTGGGCCTTCTCAAGCGTTTCTACAAGCTTATTCCGCATCCTTCGACAGACTGTCTTTTGTCTTACAGCCGACGCTTTTGTTGGTTCAAGCCTTATCATGACATCATCCCCTTGCCGTATCATGGTGTTGATTATTTGAAGGTCATCCAGAGTCAAAATGTCCCCCCCTGTAGACGGAAGGAACATCCACAGAAACGCAAGCAATACTCTCCAGAGCATGCTTGGAATGAATGAATTCAATTCGAGCAGAGCCAAAAGGAAGTGAAAAGGAAGAAAGGAATCAGATGACCATGTAGTGCCATTTAATCTTCTTCTGTAAGAATCAGTTATGCCTCGTATGTCTTGAGGCAAGCGTTCGCATTCATCAGAGCGTCCCAAGTGATGTGCGGTTTTCTAAAAATTCCAAAGCAGTCGAATGGGTCGAATGTCTGCACAAATTGATTTTCGAAGAAACAAATGATACAAAACCAATGATGCGTTGCATGAGAATGCAATTTCCATTCCAGTTGTTCCTCCTTCTATCATTTTTGACGACTTCCATTGCCTCAAATGAGAACAACGAGGTCGTAAGCGAAACTTGTGCTGATGAAAATGCCTCTGACGGTGAATCATCGGTACAATCATCATCCACACCGTCATCACTTCTTGTTCCAGATGCATGCGGTATTGTGCTGGCTCATGTTTCGGAAAATGATTGGCGAGTTTATTCGCTAATGGACCGAAAACGTAGCTCCCCTATTGTTCCATATGGTGATGTCGTGCAGCAGCTTGCCGACATGGACATTGATGCCACAAGTTTATCAGGACGCACATGGAATGGACAAGAGACTGGCGGACAATATGAGGGTTATGATAAGGTGGATTCCCTTGTGCCTGGAATCGCAATGATGGCTCGCAATGTCAACAGCAAAAAGCCAAATCTATTGCCCTTTGTTCCTCGAGTGGATGAAGCGGGATTGACACGACAGCAGTCACCGGGGGCAGGATCGATTACGCATTATCACAACTACACTCTATTTTTCACGAGAGACATTGGAGCTGGAGAGGAACTCATCATGCCAAATAGAGCCACGGGGGATAAATCTGTAAGAGATCAGGAAGTAACAGAAGAAGACGCCGACGAGAACCCAACCCTTTTTGACCTTATCCAAACAGGATATTGCTTAGACAATATCAAACCCAAGAAATCACGAATCAAGGACGCTGGTCGGGGTGCATTTGCTACTCGGGATTTCGAAGAGGGAACAATAGTCGCACCGGTACCAGTGTTACCCATTTCACGAGCAGCGCTAGAGTTTGAGGCGAGCGATGGATCTCCAACCTATCAGCTGTTGCTCAACTACTGTTTCGGCAGCAAGGATGATCCGTCAACTTTATTTTATCCCTTTGGACCATGGATAAACTTGATCAATCATTACCCAAAGACGAATGTGAAACTTCAATGGCGAAATCAAAAGGTTCCGTCAGCATCCAAAGACAGTGTCGATATGATGATGATGATGACGATGGAGTTGGTGGCTACCAAGGACATCAAAGCTGGCGAGGAATTGTTCCTTGACTACGGTAGTTCATGGGAAGAGGCATGGCATCAACATCGTCAAAATTGGGAACCAGTTACAGATCATTACTCTCCAGGGTATGTAGTGGATGACACAATTCGTCTGCTGAGAACAGAGTCAGAGCAAAAGGATCATCCCTACCCTCCCAATATCGACACAAGTTGCTTCTACCGATATTCAGACCGGACTGGCGAAGAAAAGGCATCTATCAAAAAAGATTCTTCTGATAAAGTTCAAACTTTTCAGTGGAAGGCGACTAAAGGGTTGTACGATCCAAAGTTTCTGAGACCATGCAAAGTCCTTCAGCGGAAGGAAACTGCAAAAGGTCGTTCTGGATACGCTGTCCGCATGTTTAACCGGCCAGGCTTGGACGAAGCTGAGAGAATACCAAAGGGAGAAATGCACCTAGTGACGCATATCCCTCGCAATGCCATTCGGATAACAGACAAGCCTGGCACCACCGATCAGCATCTTCCAGGAGCCTTTCGGCACGAAATCAACCTTCCCGATGATGTCTTCACAACTGAGTTCATGAAAGAGTTCCACAACTAGAAGTTTAATCGAGAGCGGCGGTTTTACCTTAAAACTAATGAACGTCAAGCTTGTCTTGGAATGAACCAAATCTATCCAACAACCACGTAGTCACATGGTCACATTCAACATGCTCGTACCACATCTTGATGGCGACTCCAACTCTCAATCCCGCGTGTTTTAAAAAAATAATCCTCAACGCCAAAAACCAAAACTGCAACAACCACTCACACCATACTGAAACATCCACCAACGAAGCTTTCTTCAAAGCACAGTCACAAAGAGGAAATGCAACATGCTGCGTCACCTTTTCTTGTCAGCGATAATCGTCTCGCTGGCCACAGCAGATGACAGCAATTGTGATGAACCTGGACGCATTGAAACATGCTCGTGTTCCACGAAAACCAAGCGAATTCCAGACGGTTGCAATCTGGTCATGGCCAAGTCTGGAATCAAGGATTCTGGATGGGGAGTCTTTACTCTCGCCGGTTTGAACAAGGGAAGTCAGATTGGAGGGTAAGAAAAATGTCAATGAAGGATTCGAGATTGTCTTGAAGTGTACTTTTTTTTATTCATCATTGTTTTCTCGACTTTTGTCCAGAGATCCAGTCATCCAAATACCGGATATCACTCCGGAAGGAGCAAAAGGATCACGACGATTCATTTGGGAATATCTTTGGGATGGAAGTGAGACTGGCGGTCAATACGAAGGTATCAGAGTCATGACGTCAGTACCAGGAGTTGGCATGTTGGCAAATGGAGATCCGAGATCATTCAACATATTACCTGGCAAAGCAATAGTCAATAACTTTGGGTTTTCACGACAAAGTTCTCCAGCAGCTGGATCAATGACAGCCTACCGAAATTATACTTGGTATGTGACAAGGGATCTCCCAGCTGGATCTGAATTGATTGTGAATTATGGTGTGAACTGGTTCAAAGAACGTGGTTTCAAACAAGAGTCGTATGAGCCAAAACCATTTGATCTACAAGCTTTGCACGACAATGGATACTGCTTGGACAATCTTCGACCAGGTGATTCAACGATTCCACATGCAGGCAGAGGTGCTTTTGCCACTAGAGATTTCGAGGAAGAATCGATCATTGCTCCTATTCCAGTGCTCGTAATATCTGACAGTGGATTGGCCCAAATGAAGCAACGCGAAAATGGGGAGATTGTTGTCCAGCAGCAACTGCTTCGAAACTATTGTTTCGGACATCCCAATTCGTCATATTCACTACATTCCTATGCTCCAATGGTGAATCTGATCAATCATGACGACAAGACACCCAATGTCAAACTCCAATGGGCAGAAGAAAGCGTTCCTCTGTTCTCAAAGCCCGTATTTATGATGCAGGATTCCTCCACAAAGCTGCTATTGGAGCTCGTAGCGATTCGCCCGATATCCAAAGGAGAGGAAATTGTACTTGACTACGGTTCAGAATGGGTGGATGCATGGGAATTTCACAAACAACAGTGGAAACCATCGACCGACGACTACCAAGACGCAAACGAAATAAACAACTCGTATCCAATCTTGCTAACGGAAACCGAGCTTCAAACAGCTCCCTATCCAAACGGTGTATTCACCTCTTGTTTCTACCGATTCAGCAGTGAAACCTACGTCCAAGTGGCCGAATGGAAGCTAGCAAGGGGTCTCCTGCAGAGCTCCAATTTGCGCCCTTGTTCGGTCGTGGAACGAGTATCTCGATCCCAGGACGATGTCACATATACAGTTCGAATGTTCAACCACCCTGGACTTGCACAAGCACATCGAATACCAAAGGGACGATCGCACATAGTCCGTCATGTCCCAAGAGAAGCTATTGTCTTTTCCAACAAACTCTACACGACGGATCAGCATTTGGAGACTGCCTTTCGAAAGGAAATTAGCTTGGGAGATATATTCCCAATTGAATGGATGGATTTGAAGTAGGCGCAAGATATATGTACAAGTAAGCATCGATCGATTTTCTCTCTCTTGGTACATGGTTTTTGTTTCCCTATCACGTTATATAGTAATATATTGTATGATTCCTTCACGACGACAATGCTTGTTTATTGCATCTTTGTGTATGCAATGTAAGCAGCGATCAATGCAACAAGAACAATCATCAACATGGAACTGCTTCCTTGTTGCGCCTTCTTCTTTTCAGCCTCTTCCTTCATCTTTGCCAAAGTAGCAGCATCAATCTTGTAAGTTCCAATCAAGTGCTTTTTCAATTCTTCTCTGGCCTCCTTTGAGTGCCCAATATCCTCAAAGAATTCATCTGCGTTTTGCCCTGCAACATCCAACATGACCTCGGCACCACCTGGGTGATCGTCCAAATACTTTGTGACATCGTACACCTTTGGTCCTCCTGTGATTGCGATTACGTGAGTGAGTGATGGGAGAATGACAGAAAATAAAACAAAATAATCGTTAGCGGGGCATCCACAAGCTATATAAGAAGTGAACATTCCCATTTTCCAATCGTCAAAGGTAGCATTGCCATCCATCTTCCGATCCGCAATGTCAAAAGACTAGGATGATCCATGGTCCATTGATCAAGCCAAGCAACATCTTGCAAGTAACGTCTAAAATATATTCCACATTGATGCGCCCGTCTTCAATTTGCTTGACGGAAGCAAGTACTGAAAAAGTAGCTAGTACCTACCATTGCTGTCGTTTCCGATGACCATCCAGCAAGACTTTTCAGAGGTGTGCTTGGAAACTTCCTCGGCCGTGTATTCCTTGAGTTCACTCATATTGTCTTGTTGTTGTGGTTGTGGTTGT